CTGGAAACTCTATGAACTTTGATAAATGTCAATATTGTAGTGGGACTTCAGGCCTTTTGTTGATAGGGTCGCTATGAGTCGTGCTTGACTCAAAGGCAATCAACAACAAAGGTACATAGTATTAGAAAAGGACAACAGAAGAGATATTATATAAATTTATATCTATATCTAGTGGGGAGAATATTTGTCAGAAAAAAAAAACCAACCCACAACAAAAAGACACCTGTCCCATCCCATCCCCAACTGCTATCCCTCTTCCCCACACACTAATGAGACCACTCCAGGGCAGAATTGAGTCCAAGGCCTTTAAAGGGCTAGAGGGCTCAGTAAGTCTTTGAAACTCAGGAGTTTGAATGCTAGCATCTTTTTGAGTTCTGAGTATAGTTAAAGAAGAATGCTCTCTTGGCATTGGGTTACAGATGAGAGTTTCTGGTTTTGCTTGTGCCAGATCTTGCATTGATGGGATAATACCATTTTGGCTAGAATAGTCTTAGAAGAGAGTGGAGACAGGCAGCTGCTTCATTCTTGGATGAATGAGTGTATAACTAGGTCAGAAAGGAAACAAGTAATCAAGGTCAATGTGCCCTTGAAAATATGGCCTCGAAGTTTGAACTCAAACTTGGATATTCTGGCTCATAGGGCTTTTTATTAACAACCTGTTAAAAAGAAACATATTAAAAACATTTTAAAAGCAAGGCACATAATGGTACTCAACCTTGATGACTGAGTGGGTAAATGAATATGAATTTCTGTCTTTAACCAAAATGGGAATGGTGGGTGCTCCATGAGTCATGAAGCAGAGACCTATGATAGGGTTTCTCATACTTACAGAGACATCTTTGATGGTAGGGGTCTCTCTAAGAGTGGCCCTCTGATGAAGTTGCACGTCTAGCCAGGTTGGGCCAGCTCCTCTACTTTTGGGGGTACCATCACCCTTTCCTCTATCCTTCAGGCTGCTGTTAGCATGACCCCAAAACAAAGTTTCTTTTCCTTTGTTTCCTCTAGTGTTGTGGGCTTGTGCTGCCCTCTGTAGGTGAATACTGTCTTAAATAGCTCTGTCTGTTCATTAGGGAAAGGTGGTATTGTGTATTGTACTACAAACTGAAAAGTAACCACTTCACCCAGTCTGTGTGAGAGAAAGGGCATCTTCTTCAAAGAGATACTGCCTCAGGAAGCCAAATGATGATGTTGTTATGTGCTCTTAAGTCAGAACCAACTCATAGCTGACCCTCCAGTGGATTTTCAGAAACTGTAAATTGCATGGGAGAAGATTGCCCATTTTCTTCTGGAGCAGCTGGTGGATTTGAACCATTGGCTTTGCAGTTGGCAGTTCAACTCCTTACCAAAGGACCACCAGAGTTCCCTTGGGAGACCCTCTATTATGAGTTAGAAACTCCTTAATAACACAGGGTTTTGGTTTTTCCATTAGTGTACCCTGGTTGTTTAGTAGGTTAAGTATTGGGCTGCTATCAAGGTTGGCAGTTTGAATTTAACAGCTACTTTGGTGGAGAAAGATGAGACAGTCTCTTTCTGTCAAGATTTTTAGCCTTGGAAATCCAATGGAAATGATTATCAGTTGGAACTGATTGGAAGGCAGTGGGGGGTTGTTGGGGAGGGTGTGCTTCCCTTTAATGCTACTACCTTTCTACTCTACCTCCATTTCCTCCTCCCAAATAAAACATGGGCATAACTAGCTTTCCATCTTGATGATTGTATTCCAAACAGCAGATGCATCTATGCAGGATGTAATTGTTACCTTTATGCTCAGAAACTTAATTGGATTCCTGCCAATTTAGGTAGCCAGCTCTTCCCTCTTTACCTCTTTCCTCTGACCAAATCCTTTCCTTTGTCAAACTGTTGCCATATATTATCGAGTCAGAAGCAACCCATAGCTGATGTGCCAGCAGGTTTTCAGAGGCAGTAAATTGCATGAGACTAGATTCATCTTTCTCCTGTGGAGCAAATGGTGGATTCAACTGGTGAATCTTTGTGTTGGCAGTATAGTTCCTTACCACGGAACCACCAGTCTCCCAGATATTTGGCTCTCTGCCTTTACCCCATTTCTCACTTGTTTAAAAATCCCATTTTCCTTTGGGAGCTTGCTCAGGTTTCCACATAGCTGCCTATGACTTCTTTAGCCACAAGGACTTTTTCTTTCCCCCACTCTGGCTCCTTTAGCTCTATTAGAACCACTCATTCAACACTTTCCATGCATTTCCTTTGTATTTCTATGTCTTTTGTTGATTCACATACTTCTTTTAAAAATTTTTGTAATTTTTATTTTAAAAGATCCAAATAATACATAAATGTACAGAGAACAATGTAAAATTTGTTCTCCCTACTCTTAACTCCTATTTCCAAAGGTAACAGCCACAGCTATCTGGTGTGTTATGAGTCTAGTTCCTTTTTTAAATGTATCCACACATGGGGGAAGGGCTAATATGTAAATAAGCTTATTCTTCTGATTTTCTGTGCCGTTTTCACATAGGGTATATGCTGTTTTACAGATTTCCCACATTAGCGTAGTCAGACTTCTCTTTCTCATTATAGCATAGTATTAATTTAAAAGAAAACATTTGTCTAGAATCTTCTATAAAGATTCCAGGACTTGGGGATCTTGTGCAGCTAGGACTTGGGGATCTCCAGACCTGAATGTAAGTTGGCCTTGAGTGAGCAGAGATGACTTTGGAGTAGATGAGGAAGAAGTGGCACCTGCAGTCTAAGGAATAGTATAATGTCCATGAAAGTATGCCATCAAGGTCAGAAATAGAAGACATTTCAAGCTAAGAGAATCTGGGCCTCACAGAGGAAGTGGCATTTGAACTTAGCAGGAAAGGAGCTTGACAGGTAAAGGAAGAGCATGAACCATGGACAGAAATACCTATTTTTTTTTAAACAAGACATTTACTTCTGCCTTAGCACAGAGCTTCCATTCTGCTGTCACCTCATGGCCTAATATCGTTGGTGAAGTTTGTTGTGTTTTATTTATTTATTTATTTATTTTTAAATTTTTGTGTGTGTGTGTGTGTGTGAGTGTACCGTCAAATCAGATCTGACTGGTACAGGAGGAGATTGTCCCTCCTTCCCTGGCAGAGCATCTGGTGGATTCGAACCGTGCGCCTCTGGGATTGTGTGTTTTATTTTTTAAAATTGTGATTTTAACAAAAGTTTACAGAAAAGTTGAATTTTCATTCCTTCATTGTTGCACATTTTCCTCCCTACCCACCCCCAGTTCACTTAAAAAAATTTTTTTTTTCATTGTTGCAAATTTCCTTCCCCTGCCCCCTTTGCTGAAGTTTTACATTTTCTCATTCATTCCAAGTAGCAGAAAGGGAGGGAGGGAGATTAAGGGGACAGCACACAATGTTAAGACATTCTGGCTGACTTAATGCTCTTGAATTAATCAAGGAGCCTTTCTAGAAACCCAAGACACTGCTTTCACCACTTCTGTTTCTGACTGGCCAGAACTTAGTGACAGAGCCATATTCAGGTTTAAGAGAGGCTTGGAAATACACTCTTGTGGTTTTTTTTCTCTTTTTCAAAAACTGAAGTACAAGGGGAGCTCTGGTGGCCTAGTGGCAAGGACCTGCAACTACAGTCCCAGAGGCGCACGGTTCGAATCCACCAGATGCTCTGCCGGGGAAGGAGGGACAATTTCCTCCTGTACCAGTCAGATCTGATTTGACGGTACACTCACACAAAAATTAAAAAAACCCAAAAACTGAAGTACAGTTTTCATGCAGTTGAATGTACAGATCTTAAATGTGCTTTAATTTTTTTTTAACAATTAAATTTTTTATTCATTTTCTTTTTATTAATTTTAATGAACATTTACAGAGATTTTGGATTTCCATTCATTCATTGTTGTAAATGTGCTTTTTAATATAAAGATTTCCATTACTCCAGAAATCACCTCCTGCTGACAGTTTAAAAAAGAAATTAAAGAGATAACAAAGGCTAAATTAGGGAGGAAGACTGTGGTGGTAAAATCTGATGGAGACTGGTTGGATGTGGGAGATGAGAGAAGAATGAAATTATTGGCCGGAATAGAAAGAGCTCTTGAAGAGTATAGGGAATTTCCATTGTTGCAGGTAGGATGAAAGGAGGTCTAAATACAGTTTGGGCAGCTTGGGTTTGAACTGCAGAACAAACAAGCTGGTGGAGACACCCAGTAGAGTTGTGTCTAGAGTTTGGGAGGACAGTCTAGACTCAACAGTGTTGGAAGACCAAAGAAGAACTCGTGCATTTAGTATTTGTGATCTTGATGACTTCTGAGGGAGCTGAAACCAGACCACGATTTGAGTAGTCCAAAGGACTATTTTAAATGATGCAGAAGCTGGTAGGCTCTCATGAAATAATTAAAAAAACCCTTCGAAGGGTGCTGTGAGTTGAAATTGGTAACAGTGAGTAGAAAAACTGAAGTCCACATACACACACAGGTGTTATTACTGGTTTTTTTGAGAAACTTGTTAATGAAAGAAGAAATGGCAAAGTCAGAAGAAAAGGGCAGAGAGATTTACTGCGTTCTTAAAAAATCCCTTGCTTTTTTCAATTAAAATCTGGGGGGTAGGACAGCTCCGTGCCTTTTTCATAAATGACTTCCAAACTGAAGGAGTGGAGGTGAGACAAAGATGGCACCTAATACAACTGAAGGGGCTGGGTGGACCAGCCAGACATGGCCAGGAGTCAGGCGACACAGCCAAGAAAATGACAGGAGCACACAGGCTGGACTCAGTCCTAGGATCCTGTTGAGCACCCAGTTTTTATCTGTAAAATGCTTACATGTTAGAGCATCTCTGGGGACCAGATACAAAGTCTGGTATACAGTAAATGGTTGCTATGAGACTCAACCCTCGTTATGGGGACAAAATAGCCAACAGGTTGAAATCTCCTACCTCGTTGTCTTTGGAAAGAAGGGAGGGCTTGCAGAGGGCGCTCCCTCCGGGGGGTGGGGACTAGGTGGAGGAAGGGCTGCGTGAGGAGGAGCTGGCACGTCGAGACCCCGCCCCGCCCCGTCCAGTCTGGCCTGGGCGCTGGAGGGAACCTGTCCTAGTTGCTGCCGGCCAAGCAGTCCATCTTGGCCACGCGTGTGCCCTGTCCCGCGTCCAGTCATGACCTCGCGCCCCTCACTGCTCCTACTGCAGCTGCTGCTGCTCTTGTTCAGTGGAGTGATGTGTCGCGCTGAGGCTGGGGTTGAAACCGAAAGTCCTGTCCGGACCCTCCAAGTGGAGACCCTGGTGAGGAGACGGCAGGTCCCCAGCACTGTGGGCCGGGCCCGATAAGGGATATATCCAGGTCTAAACGAACTTGGAAGTGGGGGATCAGGAAATGCGGGAATGAGTTGGGGGTGCTGGGTCTTATGAAGCACAGGGTCTGGAGGTGCCCCTGTGACTCCTGTAGCTTGATCGTAGGTGGAACCCCCCGAACCGTGTGCAGAGCCCGCTGCCTATGGAGATACACTTCACATCCACTACACGGTGAGGGCTTTGGGGGGCCAGGGCTGGGGCGGGGTCTGGAAGGAGGCGGGGCCTTGATGAAACACGTCAGCCTTGGCTTGGACACGTGGCAAAGCAGTTTGGCCGGGCCTCTGGGGTCGTCAAGCACGTGGCGGGGGGAGGGGCGCAGCACGCTTCCAGGGTCTGTTTCCTCCCTTGCTGGGAGAAGCAACGCATGGAGATACCTCTGAGAAGTACCAGCCTTTCGGGGCTTCCTGTTTATTTCTGCCCTGAGGCTGCAGCTGGAAGGGGGTTGCTGCCGCCCAGCGGCTCAGGTACCTGTTGTGTGCCTGCTGGAAGGGAGAGATCCTAGGTTTGCCCTCTTGATGCTCTCTACCCCCAGGGCAGCTTGTTAGATGGGCGCATTATTGATACCTCTCTGACCCGAGACCCTCTTGTGATAGAACTTGGCCAAAAGCAGGTGATACCAGGTATGTGACCTGTGCCTATAGTCCCAGCACTTCCTAAGTACTTGCTTTAGCATCTTTATCCCCTACTCTGCCCTGTAAGTGTCCCCCTGGCCAGCCTCCCTCTAGATTTTAAACCTCACTTCTAATACTCGTCCCATACTCCATTGGAAGCCAGGGATTCGAGAAGTGGGAGCTCAACTAAGGGTCATGGAGGAGCCTTTGCCCTCAAGTGGTATTTGGGGATATAAGTAGCTTGTAGTTCAATTGTGTCTTCTTCCTCAAGGGCTGGAGCAGAGCCTTCTAGACATGTGCGTGGGGTGAGTATATGGGCAGGGTTGGGCCTGGGCGGCACCTTTTCCCTGTATCCCTAACTCCTAGATACAGACAAAATGGGAGGTAAAGGATCTGGCTTCACAATGGACACACAAGGCCAGGTCACTGGGAACTCCGAGGATATCCAACACATCTGTGTCTTTATGGTTAAGGATTTTGTTGGTGCTAAGACATGCGGGAAGATAGATGTCCTTAGTGCTAAGGTAGAAGAGTTTATAATTTGAATGTTAATGAACAAAAGGGCAGGGAGAGTTGCAAGGGGAGGGGCATGGAGGCTCCTCACCCACTTGGGCCCAACTCTGGCTGTGTCTCACATTCCTCCGATCAGAGAGAAGCGAAGAGCAATCATTCCTTCTCACATGGCCTATGGAAAACGAGGATTCCCACCATCTATACCAGGTAATCTGACTAGGCCTTACTCTTAGACTCTCAGGCCATGAAATCCCCAGGTTCTTTTTTTCTTTGTCCAGTTCTTTTTTTTAAAAATTACTTTTTATTAATTTTAATGAAAGTTTACAGAGACTTTGGATTTCCATTCATTCATTGTTGTACTTTTCTCCCTGCCCACCCCTTCCCCCAGTTCACTCTTCTCTTTGAAAAGTAAAAGAAAAATTCTTTCATTGTTATATATATAATCCCTCCCACTATGCAGCCTTCATTCTGGATTCCTGTCTTGACAATAATACCTAATCATATATCCCTTTTTAAACAGTTCTCTCCCTCATCTGTTTCAATGCAGTACACATAATTTATCCCATTTTTCTCAGTCTTCCCCCCAAACCCAATATCCATCCCATTTTACAACAGTGGCACTATGCAGTATTTGTCCTTTTGTGACTGAGATATTTTACTCAGCATAATGTCCTCCAGGGTCACCCCTTTTGTAAATAACCAGTTTGTAAGAGCTCTAAGGAGCCACACACTTTAGAGCTAGAGAAGGTTTAGACCTAATTTGCTAAAGCAACAGGAATGGCTGAGACCTCCCTTAGGGCTGCTTTATCTCGTCTCATATTTTACCAAGTAGGATTAGAGACAGAAAACTTGTTAAAGCTGTCTAGTGGTTTGGTCCCCAGTGGTCAGTGACTTTTTATGGCAGAGACGCCTGCTTGTGCCACATGGACGCCTGTACCATCCCTCACAGAACTCCCATTTCCCCTGAGATGTCAGTTTCACATTGTGCCAGTTGTGCAATGGCATGACTTCTCCCCACATCCCCACTCTCCTTTCTGCTCCCACCAGGGATGAGATGGTAAAAATCATAGTGAATTAGTTGCTAACAACATAAAAACAAAAAGCAACTTGTAAAAGCCCTCACAGGTCCCTGCTCAGAGGCATTCTTGAAGGCCTGAGACTGGACAGATTTCCCAACAAGCATCTCTCTTGTTTCTCCTTATAACAAATAGTTAGCTAAAAGGCGTTGTACTCTATTGTCCTGGGATAATAGTTCTGTTAGTTCCATCTTACTGGGAGGCTTACACTAAAAAGAAGATAGGAAAGACTAGGGACACACTCTCCTACACTAAGCTCTCTGCCCTCCCCATTCCCAGTGCTGGCTGTTTGTTTCTGCTCTCACACACCCTTATTCCCCCTTCACTCCTGGCTCCCCTCTCCCTTACTACTTAAGCCACATTATTTTCCTTTCTGGCTCCAGTGCTCAGACTCCTATTTTCTCTAGCATAGTAAGTATACTTGTTGGTTGGTAGAATAAAACAATTTCTGGTCTAACTCCAATTAATTTCAGCCCTGCAAAAATTATCGACATGACTATCTGAAATGGGAGTAAGGGTATAGGTACTATAGATGGTTTTCTTACTTGTTGATAGAAAACAGCCTGTACTTTTTAGATTGGCATAGTTTTCTTGTACTGTCAATGACCTCTCATGAGCCTAAGCCATACTTGTAGCTGGGGTCAGCAGGGCCATTGCCGGACTCTGTGTGTAACCTTCCCCCCTGCATTTTTCTAAGAGAACTCAACGTCATGTTTCAACCTGGCCAGCTTCACAGTTATTGGCTTTGCTGTTGCAATTATTGGCCCACCCTCCTTATTTTTATAAAGATTCTGAGACATGGATAAAATGCATAGTTATTCTAACCTTGACCGCTTCTCTACTTCTCCAGCGGATGCAGTGTTGCAGTTTGACGTGGAGCTGATTGCACTGATCCGAGCCAACTACTGGCAAAAGCTCATAAAGGGCATTTTACCTCTGGTAGGCATGGCCATGGTGCCAGCCCTCCTGAGCCTCATTGGGTATCACCTGTACAAAAAGGCTAGCAGACCCAAAGTCTCCAAAAAGAAGCTCAAGGAAGAGAAACGAAACAAGAGCAAAAAGAAATAAACAGTTAAAACAAAACCAAACCCCACCTCCTCCTTTGAATTCTTCATCTGGTACTTTATGAGGTTACTTTTACTCTTGTGAGATTGAGGAAGGGACTGTGGTGAAGGGTAGAGGTTATTTTGCATTAGTTCTTACCTGGCAACGGGATGGTCAGAAGCACTGGATAGTCTCTTACCCTGGTCATCTCTAGCTTTCCTAGCTTACCTCAGTGACTTGGTCCTGGAACCTTCCATAGGATGTCTGGGCCCCTTGGAACCCTGATTCAGGAGCAGTGCTTCAGAGGGCATAAGCCTCCTGATAGTGGCCTAACTTACTCTCTTCACACCCTGGGACTGCAGTTCCTAGTATACTCACAGTGGATTGCACAGCCCCATATAGCAAAGATGTAAGGAGCTTGCAAATTTTTAATAGCAAAATCTTTGGATCTCAAAAAAAAAATCTTAGGCTGGGAAAGAATTTTCTCCTTGGATCACAGGATATGGGAAATCACGTGGGCTGCTTCAATGATATTGTAAATGGGTGGATGTTGTTTGCCACCTGGCAGAGCTACAGGTTTGGACAAAGGCTGAGGTAAATTGCTTTTAAAATTGACAATGAAGAGTGGGTTGCGCTGGCTTAGCACTTCATCGCTCACTGAGATGCTATCCAAGTACTGCTTGAGCATCTCCCTCAGCTTCCTATTGATTTCTAATAGCTGATCTCGTCTGCGTTGGAGGCTCAGTTGCTCCAGGTTCACTTTGTTGTACCTTTTCCAGAAATTCTCCATCCCTGTGTAGTCCATCATCACCTGGGAGTTGAGTTAGAGGAAAAATTGTGCAGCAGGGCTCATTAGTGACCACTGCCCAGGATTCCATCATCCCCAATACTGTAAGAGCTTCTGGGCTCTAGGAACTTTACCTTTGCGAGCTCCTCAGTAAGCTCTTCGGGGTTATTTTCTGCTATCTCCGCTTGTTCCTCAGGGGTTAGTACTGATGAATAAAAAGGCAGCACTTTCTCTTGCTCTGTTTCATACTTCCTACACATTTCAGCAAGTTTGAGGATCTTTTCACCCTAATGAAAGCAGAAAGAAATCTTTTACTAGGAAAGAGGAGAGATAGTGGAGTTGGTAGCCCTGCTCATCTGGATGGAAGACAAGTACAAATACTTAAAATGAAATGCTTATTGTATTTAATTCAACTAAGTGTGAGGGGATCCCATCAGTGGATGAATGGATAAACTATGGTACATACAAACAATGGAATACTATATTAGAGAATAGTGAAAACTTCACAAAGCACCTAACATGGTGAAATCTGAAGGACATGCCAGTGAAGTCAGTCACAAAAGTGCAGACATATGAGCCCACTGTTATAAAAAGACATTGCCTTATGGCAGACCTGTTTCTGTGGGTCTTTCTTAGTGTACCAATGCATAAAATAAAACTGCAGCCTTGAACCATTGCCCAGCCTCCTTTACAGTGGGCCGTGAGCACTGACAGGAGCTGTACACTGAGAAACAAAGGACATTGCAAGTGTCTGCTCAGAAGTGTGAGGGTTGCTTTTGCCTTTGTCTTGTATTTTGAGCATATTGTTAGGAAAGGGACGTCATGCTTAGGAGGGTGGAGGATCAGTGAAAGACAGGAAGGCCTTAATCAAAATGGATTGACACAGTGACTGTAGCAGTGGGCTTGAGAATGTCAGAAATGAGGACAGCATGGGATAAGACAGGGTTCAGATCTGTTGTTCATAGGGTTGCTATGAGTCCTGCTTGACTTGATCGCACCTAACAATCTTTCCTCAACTCTTTCAACCTTGGCTTTGCTCTGATTACTCTCTTCCCCCCTACTTTTTTTTTTACCTTATCAACAATCTTTTTCAGGGCCTTCAGTGTAGCATTACTTTCCAGAGTGAGCTTAACCAGATTCTTCTGTGATATTCCCCGCGCTTGGGTTCTCTGAGCTTTAAGTTTCCGTAACTGGACAAGGACCAACTCTTTGTCATTATCAATATATTGGTTTTGTTCCTCACTCTCACGAATGTGCAACAAAATTTTGCATTTTAAAATACTTATGGCCTCCTAGGGAGAAACAGTAGATTAGAGGAAATACTTGATTAGCTCAGCATCTTTTGTGAGACAGGTAAAAAGTTCCGTCTGGGGACTAACATGAGAATGTAACATCTTTCCTCAGCTGGTGATGAGGCCCAGTGGGAACTGGGGCAGTTGACGCCATAAGTATTTCTGGCTACTTGGCACTAACCTGTAGTTTCTGTATTTTTTTCATCTGATCTTCAATCTCTTTGGTACTCTTCTCATCCTTCACCTTCAGGGTCTCAAAGGCAATCTTTCGGTCCTCTGTGGCATCAGTGTAATTCTTGAGTGCTTCCTGGAACTTTCTCCACAGATCTTCCACAATGTTCTCCAGTTGCAGTCTCAGAAAGTGCTTCTCTTCTAAATTCTAGAAAATGGCCCCCAAATAGCTAGCTTTTGGTGTCATCCCATAAGTACTTTTTCACTTCCACCTGTAACCTCACTTCCTTGAACTAGGTTGGATGGTTTAATACAGAGGTTGCAAATGAAAACACCTACAGAGGACAGGAAAAACCCACTTCCAAGGATCGAGTCTGACTCAGCAACCCCTAATTGAGTTTCCCAGATTGTCTATCTTTCTGCCATGGAGTAGTTGGTGGTTTTGAAATGCCAGCCTTTCAGTTAGCTGCCAGGCTAATGTCATATGCTATACCATGAAGAAAATGACACACCTAAGTGTTGTGTTCTGGATGGGCCTATGGTGAACTGCAGAAGTGCTCCAACTAAAATAAAAGTCATAGCTTCTCAGATCCACATACATGTTGTCATTTGAAAATGTGGCCCAAAGTGTTTTTCTGTTTTCCAAGAGAGGCTAAAAACTTAGATTTTCAATTGAAGCTTACTAAAAATCTGTATAAAACACAGTGTGGGACAAAATAAAAATAAGGAGCCCCATATCCATGCCCAGGCTGACTAAGTTTGCAACCTCCTGGAAGTTGGAAAGCATCTGGGCCAAGAGGCAGGGAACCTGGATGCTTCTAGCGCTCTCACAGACTGGGACCATGGTTTTGGCATCATTTACTTTTTTAGGTCTTAGTTTGTCCAGGTGCCAATCACAAGTGAAGCCAGGTGGTCTCCTTGGTGCATTTTAGCTTTAAAATGGAGTCCCTTGACATTTCAGAAGAGCCCTTCCCAGCTAATTTTCATGATATTTCAAAAAGCATTAAAGATACTTACAGTGGCTACAGACATTTTCTTAACTGTGCTGGTGCTAAAATACTAAACCTCCAGCCTCTAATGCCTCCAGGGTTAGAATGGTCTCTGTTAACTCTCAGAGTCGTGAGCATTTTTCTCACTTCTCTCCCAGCTCATGCCTATCTACTATCTACTCTTCCTCTACACCTTAGTTGGTTGGGTTTAAATATGAATATATATATATATTCTATTTAAAAAATTTGCATATAATCATTCATAGACTTTGTGTTTCCTTCATGTATACTGTATTTTAGTCAATCATTCATATACTTGTATTTTATATTCCTGTTGATCTATGACTATTATTACCCTGTCTCTTCAAGGCTCCATTAAATCTTTCCAATTCCTTCACCCCCCATCCACCCTCTAGCCTCTTGTACCTTGTTTTTGAGATCGTCCCACATGCTCTGAAACTCCAGCTTGCTTTCATATTCAGAGTCGATATAGTTCTGCTCCATGGCCATGAAGACATCTTGCAGGTAGCGAATATCTTTCTCATGTTGGTCAATGATTATCTTCCTATAAAGAGACAAGACAGTGTCCTTGCTTTGAAGGATAAAGCATGCAGACCAGAAATGACAACTCAAAGGAATATGTGATAAAACTCCAGGTACAGAAGGAGGCACAAAGCTATTCTTTTTGGGCCCGAGAGGAATGAATAAGATTATTTCTTTTAAAAAAGACAATGAAACAAATACTTCAAAGTCCAAAAGATTTTATAGTGAAAGGTCACCCTCCTATTGGATGGGCAAGATTCTCAAAGTTCAAAGTGGATGGTGGAGGTGTGTTACAGAGGCTTGACATGGGAAAGTGCAGCTAAGGCTGTAAACTTAAACCTGAGTTGGTTCAGAAGGAACTCATGATTTTCCCTGCAGGACCCATATCATGAGCAACATGGGATGACCCAGAGGGAGGGCCACCTGCTTACAGGCAAGCTCCCTGACAGTTGGCTGCTCCCCTGAAACTCAGCTCCCCCTCCCCTCTTACATCTTTCACACCTTTCTGTCTCAAACTCTTTGGTCAGGGCTTCTAACTCCATGTTGTAGCCTTCTTCCAGGAGGCTGAGCCGACACCTCTGCAGGGCCAAGAGCTGATCAATGTTGTGCAGGTGGCTGCGCAGGGCATGGGCATACTGCTCCTCAGCTTCTGCCAGGTCTTTAGCTAAAGACTGGGGAGGAAACAGAGAGTTACCACTCTGGCTGAATGGTATCTATGTGTGAAGTGAAAAATGTATTAAGATGGTTAGCTGGGCTACGTGATGACATTTTATTTCGTAGTTCCTAATGTCAGTTCTTTGATCACAGAAGGGCTGGCTTTCCCATCCTTAACTTTAAGCAAGAGTCTCATAGAACTAACTTAGGGACAGTAAACATTTACAGTGTCGTTTTTGTTATGTGCCATCGTGTTGCTTGCGACGCATAGTAACCCTGTGTACGAGAGCCCTTAATGCCATTCTATCCTGTGCCAACCTTGCCATCTCAAACATACTCATTCCCATCTCCCCAATCACAGAATCGATCCCATCTCATTGAGAGTCTTCCTCTCCTGCACCGTCCCTCCACTCTCCCAAATATGATGTCCCTCTCTAAGGACCAGTCCCTCCTTGCAACACGCTCAAAGTATGTCAGATGAAGCTTCAGAATCTGTGACTCCAAGGAGCATTCTGGCTTCACCCTTCCAGGACAAATATGTTTGTTCTCCTAGCAGTCCGTGGTATATTTAACACTCTTTCCAGCACCACAGCTCAAAGGCATCAATTCTCCTTCTATCATCCCTATTCACTGACCAACTCTCTGATGCATAGCACATAATTGTGAAGACTATAGCCCAGATCAGGTGCACCTTAGTCTCCAGTCTGGCGTCATTGCTCTTGAGAGATCACTTACAGCTAACTTTCCCAATGCAATTTGTCTCTTGATTTCCTGGCTGCTGTTACCAAGAGTGTTGACTGTGGAACCAAGTAAACTAAAACTGTTAACTATCTCAA